AACAGGAAGTTACTTCATTGTTTACTCCTCCACACAAACAGGAAGTTTCATCATCGTTTACTCTTCCACACAAACAGGAAGTTACATCATTGTTTACTCCACACAAACAAGAAGTTTCATCATTGTTTACTCCTCCACACAAACAGGAAGTTACATCATTGTTTACTCCACACAAACAGGACGTATCATCGTTTACTCCTCCACACAAACAGGAAGTTACTTCATTGTTTACTCCTCCACACAAACAGGAAGGTACATCATTGTTTACTCCACACAAACAAGAAGTTACATCATTGTTTACTCCTCCACACAAACAGGAAGTTTCATCATTGTTTACTCCTTCACACAAACAGGAAGTTACATCATTGTTTACTCCTCCACACAAACAGGAAGTTACATCATTGTTTACTCCACACAAACAAGAAGTTACATCATTGTTTACTCCTCCACACAAACAGGAAGTTACATCATTGTTTACTCCGCACAAACAAGAAGTTTCATCATTGTTTACTCCTCCACACAAATAGGAAGTTACATCATTGTTTACTCCACACAAACAGGAAGTTACATCATTGTTTATGTTTCTCTGTAGCTCCTGACCAGGTCTCATGACCTTCTTACCTCTGATTGGTTGGAGTAAATGTGCTTCATGCTTAGCAGCTCTCTGATTGGTTCATGTCTCTGAGGGACCAGGTGCCTGTGTGGATCCCCGGCTCAGACAGATCTACACCGACCCACTTCTCGTCCTGACTCCGCCCTTCACCCCCGACGTGAAGGAGTACCGTGCTGAAGTGACCTTTGACACGCTGACGGTTCGAATCCGACCGGAGCCTGTCGGTGCTGGCTGCAGGGTCCACATGGACGAGGACTGGGGGCCCAGGTGAGACCAAGGCTGCCTCCTACCTGACCTCTGACCTAACAGGGCGTGACATCAAAGCCTTTCCTCCTCAGGACGGGGAGCTTCCCGCTCGGACTGGGGACCAACCTCATTAGGATCCTGGTGACGGATGCTGCTGGACTCACACCTGTTGTCATGACGACCTACACCCTCCACGTGTCCCGTGACAGCCGGCCCTGTCTGCCCATGTTTGGAGAACACGTGATGTGCAGCTTCCTGCAGGTAGGTCAGCTGACAGGAAGTGATGTCACGAAAGGCTGTATGAAGAATTGAACTTTTATTAAAACATTTTTCTGTTCCTGATGAAAGAAAACGGCTGGTGGACTCAGGTTCTGGAGGTTCTGTCCAAGGTCCACCAGCAGAGGGCAGCAGTACTTTAAAACTCCCGCACCTGAACCCAGACCGGAACCCAGCTGGATCTTGGTCTGAGTCCAGAGTCAGGAGCTGAGGTCTGAATAATTCGTGGAACTGTCCCTTTAATCCCGACAGTCTTGAAGAAATCTGCTTCCTGTTTGGATTCGATCACATTTAACCATTTTGTTTCTTTAATAGAATCTTATATTCTATCTATATTTTTCAGCTCACGTTAAAATTTAAAACTTTTATCGGCTCTTTTTAATCTGATAAGAGCAGTTATTTTTTAAATTTATTATTATTTACTTGATTTTTATCAAAATCAACCCTTCAGTCAGTCAGGGTACGGTGAGTTCAAAGACTGTGGGAATTTACAGCTTTCTTTGGCTCTGTTTTGTTTTTAGACTTCAGCTCTCAAGCGTCAGATGAAGTGGTCCTAAAATGGCCGCCTGCCGTCAGATCAAAGCCCGGGCGGCACGGTGGCGGTGTGTTTAATGACCTCAGAGCGTTTGAGCCCGTGTACTCGGAGCTCAGGTACGAACAGGAAAATCCCTGTTAAGTTTTCTTGTCTCACTTTGTTGCGAGCTGCGGCGCCGGCGTGCAGAATGTGACGCCGCGGCGCTGAAAGCTGCAGAAGAAGACGAGCGTTCCGAGGTCCGGTCCAGACGGGCTGGCTCCCACGGGGCCCCTGAGCCGGTCTGGGCGGGGTTATCTGACCTTTGACCTCCGGGCAGAGGGGGGAGGGGTCTGATCAGAGAGGACTCTGAGTCCCTGTCTTCTCTGTCCACAGAGTTTCATCTCCTTCCTGCAGTTGAACACAGTGCATGCTGGGAAATACATTCAGCTGTGTCTCTGTCCTGTCCTCGTTTCAGGACTGTGGTCTTCTGGTCCAGCCTGGTCTCCCCTGTGGTCTTCAGCCTCACATCCTGTCTCAGGGTCCACTTCAGACCTGCGGCTCAGGACACGTCCCAGGTTTGATGTCCTGCAGTTGGACGGAGCCTCTAGAGACACATGGCTGTCCTGTCTCCACACCTGTCTCACCTGTCCTTGTCTCACCTGTCTCAGGTCGGTGGGTGGTCCCGTGTCTCAGCTGCTCAGATAACAGGACATGTGATTGGAGGGCTGTTGCCTGGCAACCGGATGGCTGTTCCCACCTGCTGGTGCCCCGCCCCCTGCTGCAGGACTGTCTGACAGACAGGAAGGTGAGGTCATGTGACCAAACATCATCGTCCACAGTTTGATGTCCCACTGATGGACTCTCAATCAATCGACAGATCAATCAGCTTTATGTATACCCTCAGGTAGAGCTGGTGAAACTTGACGTAGACACAATAAATATAAAAAATAAATACAACATGATTAAAAATGGATTCAAAAATGACTCGTGCTAAGTCTAATTCTGGAAGCTTTGGGCAACAGGAACAAAACTGGTGTTAAAGTTTTACATCTGGGAATCAAACATGTGCATCCTGATGGGAGGAGCCTGAACTCTCAGGCTGATACACATCTGGATGTGGAGAACCTCTGCACCTGCCTGGAGTACAAGGATTCTGGGCTTAGCTGCATCTCAGACACCAACTGACTGGACCAGTTGACTGTTTCAGGCACTTCTTGTTTTTAAGAGTTAAAATACAAACCAGGACACCACCAGTAAGACAGACCAGTTCCATCAAGGTTTGAATGAAGTCGACAAGTTTTATTGATGTGGAAGAAGTTTCCTGAGGAAAAGCAGGCGCTGGTTCCGGTTCTTACAGACGTGCTCACGGTCTCTGGTTCCGGTTCTTACAGACGTGCTCACGGTTTCTGGTTCCGGTTCTTACAGACGGCTCACGGTCTCTGGTTCCGGTTGTTACAGACGTGCTCACGGTCTCTGGTTCCGGTTCTTACAGAGGGCTCACGGTCTCTGGTTCCGGTTCTTACAGATGTGCTCACAGTTCACTCAGTAGCCAGATGTTTGTAGGTGTCAACAACTTCCACAGTCTGTCCCTTTACACCAGCAGTTTCCTGTGTTTTCTAAACTTTCTTGTCCTTAGTTTTTGAAATATTCATCTGCAGGTCGGATCATCACACCACTGAAGTCCTCCAGCGCAGGGGGCGTGGCCTGTTTCTCTCATTAAGCAGACTAACAATGAAGGAGTCATACTTTAAACTGACTCTGTCTTCCTGCTGCTCCGCCACATGTTTGTGTCGAGGATATGGAGAGGTGACAGAACACATCCCTGTGGAGCGCCGGTGGAGGAGCAAACCTGCTCGAACAAAAAGCCCTTCACTCTCTGTGTTCCTAAAATCCACAAGATCAGAACCCATGTCAGACTGATCCAAGAGCCGATCTACTAAGACGTGAGGCTGGATGGTGTTAAAGCAGATGAAAAATCTATAAATAACAGTCGTGCACGTGATCCCGTTCCCTCCAGATGTTTGAAAAATAGGTGCATTAGAAAAACTGTTGCATCCTCTCAGGTGTCTGTCCTCAGGTGTCTGTCCTCCTGATGGACTCTCACCTGTCTGTCCTCAGGTGTTGTTTATTGGGGACTCCACCACTCGTGGGATGATGTTCTACCTGATGGAGCGGGTCAACTTCAGCCTGGAGGACTGGGGGAAAGCCCATGACACGCTGGTCTACCCGAACCTGAACGGAGGTCGGACCCAGATCAGCTACTCCTACTATCCTCAGTTCTGGTTGGACAAAACCCGGAGGCCCACATTCAGGACCGCCCTCCTGCAGCTCATCCACAGGTGAGACAAAGTGAGCTGTCCTGGTGGGTTTCATTCAGAACCTGTTCATGTCCTCTGTCCATGTCTCTCATGTCTCTGTAAAGGTCTCGACCTCTGCCAAACTCCATGAAGACAGTTCTGGTGGTTGGAGGAGTCCAGTGGCTCAACACCAACCACCTGAGGACGGTGCAGGAGGTGCTAGACAGGTAAACACCCACAGAGACAGCTGAAGTTCTGTCCAGTCAGAGGCAGGGTCCAGATGTTGAAGGTGTCCTTGTCCCCAGGGAGTCCCTGGAGAATGTCTTGGTGGTGGTGAAGTCCTTGGGCATGGGCTTCCACCTCCCAGTGGACGGACTCAGATCTGTCAATCTGGTAGGTTTGTGTCTCCTCCGGACAATCCTCTCTTTCTTCTTCTTCTTTTGACTTCTCTCTCTTCAGCCACATCTGAAGCAGTCTGGTGAAAACCTCAGGATGGTTTTAGACTCTGACTTCAAGTTTGACAAACAAATCAACTCTGTTCTGCAGAAAACCTTCTTCCAACTCAGACAGGTAGCTAAGCTCAAGCCAGTGTTGTCCAGACCCGACCTTGAGAAACTAGTCCACGCCTTTGTCACGACCCGATTGGACTATTGCAACGCACTGTATGCTGGGATCATCCAGGCCTCCATCTCACGTCTTCAGCTCATCCAGAATGCTGCTGCTCAGCTTTTAACCAGAACTCGTAGGTCTGAACATATTACTCCAGTTCTGTCCTCCCTTCACTGGCTCCCTGTTCGTACGAGGATAGTCTTTAAAATTCTTCTGTTGACCTTCAAATGC